CTGGTGTGCCTCTGGTCGTAGCCCATGCTGATGCCGCTGGTGCGGTTGCTGTTGGGCTTGCTGCAGCAGTCACAGCTGTTGAGGCTGGCCCGGGGACTTGAGTGTTTACTCGTGTCGCTGGCGGTGCTTGCATAGCTGGATCGGGGACTGAGGACACTGTTTCCTTCGCAGTGAACCAAACTAGATCTAGGGCTAGTGTACCTCTCCTGACCCGGTACCACCAGACTGGTACGCGGGCTGCTGATGCTCGACCTCGGGCTGGCATGCTTGCTTTGCTCTTGAGAAGACAGAGAAGATGCCAGGCTGGAGCGAGGACTGGTGGCGTTATATCTCCCGTCGTGGCTGCTGGCGATGCAGACACTGTTGCACCTGTTGCCGGGCACAGCCACCGGTTTGTTGAGCGGCACGCCGTCAAAGGTGGAGCCGGTGCTGTACCTGTGGCCCTGCACCTCCAGAGAGTACCTCCTGTGTCTCTCGGAAGTGCCTGTATAACAAGGCAAAGCTACTTCGGATTTGGTGCAACAACCATCCTCGTTATAAACCACGTCCCTCTGAGGGGCGCAAAAATCCACAGGAACCGTCCGGTTGCAATTCACCGGGCGCACTGGAGCCGCGTTGTACACTTTATTCCCGGACGAGAAATTCTCCACTGTGTGATGCTGCTGGTGAAGCACAGAGGTCCCATTCATCGGCTTGGCTTTATGCTCAACCAGTGCCGGAGCCGAAAAGTCTAAATCGGGGTTAATCACCAAGTCTCTCCTCGCATCGTACATCCCGTCCTGGTACGCATCATACAAAGAAAGGTCCTCCATCAGTTTGGTGGCCCGGAGTCCCAAATCTTCCTGGTAATGCTCCATGTTGTGCTTCCGAGGAGAGAAACAAGTTCAGAGTGCGCTCCGCTGCGCGAGCCAAACTATAGAGCACCGCGGAGCACTAATTGCGTTTCACATGGAAATCAAAACAAAACGCCGCCGTACAGCCGTCCCTCACTCACAGAAAACCACTTACATGCCCGCAAACCCCGCCGAGAGCCGCATCGTCTTCTTCTGCTTCCCCCGCTTCGCCGAAAACACAAACTCTTTCTCACAGTTTCAGCCGACAGCGATACGTTTGTCAACTTCAGTTTTTGTTAAGTTGAAAGGTCTTTACAGTCAACGGCGCGCTGCGCGGAGGAATTTCCCCTTGTTGGTTTTTCCTCTAGATTTCCTTTACGGCCACTGTGCAAGAAATCAAAGTAGGTCGGATAATCGTATATGCTGCAAACACCCTTTGTGTGCAAGCCTGAGCGCACAAAGAGCGCAAAAATCTCAACAAAACGCTGTTTAATGCAGGGGACTCGTTCGCGTGAAAGGAATGCGGGGAAGGAGACTGGATGCGCTGCGCCTCTCTGGAATGTGGTTAATGCTGCAGAGAAACAATGATTGCGACCAACTCAGCAAGGGGCTGCCGGCTCTGAAGAGAATAGTTTAAGAGAGAAGGGGACGTCTGCATTCATCCCGGGCAGACTAAAATACCACACAAAGCACGCCTCACCTGGTCCGACTCCTTTTACACCAGGAATGAGCTGCAGTGATTCAGTATTAATGGAGGGCAGATGCGTTTAAAACTCAATTTTCAAAGATGTAAAGATGTTCTCAGATATCGTTTTCTACATATAAATAAAGGGTAGGCCTAGATCATGCTTTTAATGATTTATTTTAAAATAAGCTGCATAAAAACACGATATGAGGATTTCAAATATAGCAAAACAGTTTAAGAATTACGAAAATATGCAATCTCGATTAACCTTGGAAAAAACATGTTATTACTCTATGCAATAGAAAATAGTCGCTAAGATCTTTAACATTTCTTTAAATATACAGATATATTTTCTAAATGCACCAATTAAAATATGTCTTCCTGGTGATAAAGGGAGGAGTTTAAAAATCAAAACCCACAATTCAAATTTCACAGGTCAGGTTTTATTAATTTTTGCACAAAAATATATTTAAAAATGTATTTCTCCAGTAATCATAGATGTTTGCCCTTACAAGTTAAAAAAGAGGTAGCATGTAAAAATTAAACTAACTTATGTTACTGCTTTAAACTGCGGTCATAGACTTGGTCCTTAGATGGCTGGACTTGTTTTAATGACTTTAAAAGGAAAGGTGCACATGGATGATAACATATTAAAATATGCAAACTGTCTTTTGATGAGTCAGTCTTCACACAATATGGATGATGTTTTGGGCAAAGTCAAAAGGCAAGACTACTTTACATTAACTGCCGACGACTGGCAGAAAAGACAGAGACACAGCCACCAAGGCAGAAACAAACAGGACGTTGAGCAGCAGTCGACTGAGGAAGGAGTGGTGACATTTCTTCCCGTGGCCTCTGCTTCTGAACCACTGCACGACCTCATCCAGGTTGTACTCCCTGGGCTCGTAACCGAGCTCCGCCTTTGCCTTTGTCATGCTGAAGTAATGCGTCACGCCAGTTTTATACACCTCTGTACGTGTCAGCAGCGGCTGGAAGTTATAGAAGGGGCCGATGAGGCAGTGAATCATTTCTGTGAGGAAGGCAAAAAAGTAAATGAGAGAGATAGGAAGGCGCAGTGTGGGGAAACGATAGCCTAGGCCTTCTACGAGAGGTCTGAAGAATTCAAAATTGTTGACAGGCCTTCCATCTGAGATGAAGTAGGCCTGGCCAGCGGCGCGGTGCTGCTTCTCTGGGGTCAGAGCCTCAGCAGCTAGCACATGTGCTGACACCAGGTTGTCAACATGGACAAACTCCACCAGGCTGCTGGGTTTACCGTAAACAAACCTGAAGATCCCCTTCTCTATATAGTCAACTATCCTGGGCAGATGCCTCTGCTCTCCTGGCCCATAGATACCTGCCGGACGCAGTGCGCAGGTGCTCAGCAGGCCCGAGCGGCCCTTCAGCACTGTGCCATTAGCTTTCAGAACTGCCATGTCAGCCAGGGACTTGGTTCTGGAGTAGTGGTCTGGGTGAAGATGGAGAGGTAGATAAGGCAGGCTTTCATCTCCGTTCTCTATTACCTGACCCCCGAACACCACATTGAAGGTGCTGGTGTAAATCAGCCTGGACACTCCGTGTTCTACACAGGCCTTCAAGATGTTCTGTGTGCCTTGTACGTTCACTGCCTCAATCAGCTGGCGATTTAGCTGCTCCCTGCCAGACATGCCATAGGAGGCAATGTGGAATACACAATCCACCCCTGTGACAGCCTTCTCCATGTCTGGATATTCACGTATATCACCCTGCACAAACACAACATCCTCTGGCAGTTCTTGACTTGGGGGGATGATGTCAAACAGGATGACTTTGGCTCCTTTTTTATGCAGAGACAGAGCGAGCCTTCAGGGGGGAAAAAGCAGTCCTCCATTTTAACAAAATAACAGGCACAGTAAACCAAGGACAAAAGTACAATAGATGCACATATTTCTACCTTCAATCCTACCACAGTTCATGTCAAGAAAGTTTATCTTAATAAGATAACTGGTGTGATAACGCCACCTTGTGGTGCTTACCCCATGCTGCAGCGTTTGCCTGCATTTAAATATTTTATAATGTGTAGTAATAACACAAAAAAGGCAAAATTGTTCTTACCGATTACCGAAGTAGCCAGATCCACCAGTTATTAAAAACGTCTCTTTGCTAGCATTTCCCATTCCAAGTGGATGAATCTGTGAGGAAAATTAAGAAAACAATATTATTAATGTTTGTTTTTTTTAAATACACATAAATCAGCCTGATGCATTTAAAGAATAAAAGTATTAATAACTAAAATAAAATCGTAATTAAACAGCTTCCGGTTACCTAAAGTCAATCACAGCTTGCAGATTCAATGACGCGTTCCACCTGAGCTATTAAATCTTTCATGCTGCTACGTCAGTGTATATTTTTGTTTCCCGAGGTGACTGCAAGTTTAATTCAGTGAATAAAATCGAACTAATCCATACTTGTAGTTGCTTGCATGAGTAGAGTAAAGGTATGTGCGAGGCATGCTTGAAACTATGCACATGCCCTGTGCGCCAAACTGTTAAAAGCTCACATATTCAACGGACACACCAACCTGAGCACGAGGCAGACAAAAACGAGACAAATAAGTGTCCAATATGACTCATTCAAAACTCCACTGTAATCCTGGAAACCTCCAAAACAGCGACAGATAGCACCACCAGTGTACCTCCTCACCAGTGACGCTGATTCGTTAAGCACGGGGACACAGGAAATCCGGCGAAATTATCTTCATGTAGCAAAGCATTGACAAATTGTAAAATAGTTTTAATGGTAGCTAAACGCAAAATTATACAACAGATCAGTAGATATTGTCGAATTTCATGGTTTAGATTTACAGACTGTCATAGCATTCACTTTAATCTGGACTAACGATACACGTCTCATGCTTTTGTTTTGAAAGCTGTATTTTAGACTACGAAGACTTCCGATATGACTTTTTTTCACCGATTTTAACCAGAATATTTTTATTAACACGATACAAATTTTGCTGTGTGTATAAGCTGTGTCAATGGTGTCTGAAGGTGGCTATGGCTGCTTTCAGGATGTTGCTGTTAGAAACTTTCCGCTGTGGCTCCTGGCTTCATGCCTGAAATCAAAATGATAGTTGCCGTAAAGTGACTCATACTGCTGTGAGGGCCCTAATATTTACAGGAAGGCTTCACAGCAGTCAAATCCCTTAAAAACATTTAAAAAAAAAATATTTGTCTGAGCCACAATTAAAAACAATATAATCATTTCAAGAATAAAAAAGTTTAACCCACCAATTTACAGAGAGTGGAGTTTTCAGTGAGAACTAATAAAGGAGTGAAATATTGCTCTATATACACTGTACAGACTTTTCCCCCTCGGATTAGTAGAATTTTAATTTAATCTGTAGTTGTGTGAGGGGAAAACGTGAGTAATCATTTTAAAAGGTAAAATAAAAAGAGGATTTACGTAAGTCTTTGATTAGTAGTCCCTCTAGCGGTGATACAAACTGAAAATTGACGACGACGTCATATTTTACTCTCAGTTGCCACCCAGAACAACAACGCAGAGCTGCAGGTTACTTCAAAGTCCAAAGGTAAGCGGCTGTGTTATGTAAGAGAGATCAGTGAAGTAAAGAGTGCACTAAACTCTTAAAGGAAACAGTCCGGTGGGAGGCACGCCCAACGGGCTTTATGTTTCCTAAAGTATGCGTATTTGTCGATCTGATCGTTGTGACAAAAAAGTAGGGTATACTTTTACAGGCACACGGATGAACGTTTGTCGAAATTGCCTTTCTCGTTTTACATAATTTACTCACTTGAAAAACTTGCCCAAAGTTAAGCAGGCCTGCACGTTCCGTATCTGTACAAAACGCACCACCCAAAATGTGCAAAATGTGATAAAACAGGAAGATACGCGTCATGAGCATGTTTAGGTTGAGTTACACCGAATTGTTGAAAACAAACAAAAACAAGTCCGTGATAAACTACTTTACAACATGTTTAGGAGTCGACTTTGCATATATAAGTGCAACTTTTAACTTGATATAGGACTGATCACTAAATTCAGTATAATATGATCCGGTGTAAAGTATCCTGTGTCTTATCTGAGGAATATTACAAAAGGTGTCATAACCTGCATTTTACAAACAGGATGGATTTGCGTGAGTACTTCAAAAGAATTGGTTTCCATGTCTCCTGTGATAAACTGGATCTTGCAACACTGAAGCTGATCCACAGGCAGCACGTTATGTCCATCCCATTTGAGAACCTAAGCATCCACTGTGGCGAGAGGATCACCATGGACCTTGAGGTCATCTTCAATAAGGTTGTGAGGAGCAGCCGCGGAGGCTGGTGCCTTGAGAACAACTCCCTGTTTGGCTGGGTGTTGAGACAAATGGGTTTCAACACGACAACACTGAGCTCCAGAGTTTTCAATAGTTTCCTCAATGACTTTGGCCCGCTTGATTCTCATCTCATTAACAAGGTCATCATTGATGGGAAGGCTTATATAACAGATGTAAGCTTTGGGGTGTCATCACAAGTGCGAGAGCCTCTGGAGCTTATTTCTGGGAAGGAGCAGCCCCAGGCAGCGGGTGTTTTTCGCCTCATAGACAAAGGGGACATGTGGGTGCTGGAGAAGACTGGCAGAAAACCAAAGGTTCCTAATCCAGAATTTGCTACATCAAGTCTGGTGAGCAGGAAGCAAACAAAGCAGATCTACTGCTTCACCTTGGAGCCTCGCGGGGTAGATCATTTTGTAGATAAATGTCACAGGCTGCAGACCGACCCCGCCTCACTGTTCACCAATAAGTCCATCTGCTCTTTGCAGACTCCCACGGGATTCAGAGCCCTGATTGGAAAGACCTACAGTGAGGTCACCTTCAAACCAGAGGAAGGTGTTGATGTCTTAGACATGAGGGACATATCAGATGATGAGATAGACGAAATTCTGATGGAAAAGTTCAACATAAAGCTGCAGAACAAACTAAAGCTCATGAGCAACAAATCCTGGTACACACTTTGAAAACAATCCTGACATATCAACATTTTATGTTGAAGCTCGTCAGCAAAATAAAATATTTGACAACTCCATGAATTAAATTATTTAGATCTTCAGAATTGTAGTTGCATAAAAACAGAAATAAATGAGCTCTAAATAATGTGCACTGAATGATGGAACGATAAAAAAACAACTCTATTTGAATTCCAATTATTCAATTTGATTTTATTGTATTCATATAGCGTCAAATCACAAAAGCAGTCACTTCAAAGCACTTTATATTGCAAGGTAAAGACCCTACAATAATACAGAGAACACCACAACAATCAATTATCCACATAATCATTACATAATTATGAACATTGTTACAGCAGCAAAGTACACTAAACAGGAAAATATAAATAGATGCAGCATACCTAACAACAGTAAAGCTATGCAAGTATATATGCAAGTATAAATATTTTAATTTCTAGTGTTATTAAAGTGTAGTAGTTTACACATTTGCTTTTCCCTTTGGGTTTCCACCAGGAATGACAAATCGAAGGTAGAGCCACCTGCTGTGGCAGCTCCTTGTAAATAAGGGAGCAGCTGAAAGTAGCTTTATTTGGAATTGTATTATAGTGGGAAGTGAGAAGAAGGGAGTAGAGGAGAAATGCTCAGTGCATTATGGGAAGTCTGTCAGAAGATGTAAATTAGGCTTAAAACGTATCTGAGTTTTATCCCTAATTTTAAAAGTACATAGGGTATCTGTGCATTAAATAAAATGATTTACAGTATGAGGGAAAACATACCATGTTTGTATTTTTCTGGATATAATAGTGAGTGTAGTGATCTTAATATTTATAGCTACCTTGAATGTTTTTGTGTCACATTTTTTTTTTGTTTTATGTTTGTATATTTATTAATCCCATATATCATAATGCTTAAACTAAGATAACTTATTTCATAGTATTTATCCTCAACCTTGTAAAACAGCAAAAGGTGAAAACTGAGCAAATCTGAAGACATCCTGACAAAAAAAAAAATCATATATTGCTAGAAAGAGTAAGAAAATATGCACACTGCTTCTCTCCAGTTTAATAAATTCAATCTTAAAACATTCTTGCAAAGGCAACATTTTGATCTTGAAATGAAGAAAGAAGATTCCATGAATATTTCTATTTTTCAAACTATATTACCTGTTTATCTGTTCACCATTGTAAAATGATCATAATGCTTATATATGGTAACTGAGTAATTCACAGTATTAAAATGTCCTGTTTTGTGAAGTTGTTATAGTGTCATAGGTTTATACAAGGACGTTTGTATATCAAATGATTTGTCCTCAACGCCTCTACCTCTACACGACTGAGACTCAGATCCTCATCTTGGCCATCCACAGGCAGCTCTTAGATCAACGTGTGTTTGATAGAATAACCTAAATTGTATTTTAACAGACTTGAATGGACAGTGGCTCTTTGGGTTTCATGATATTAAACATACTTTGCTGTTTTATTCTATGTTCTGTGTCAAGGTTTCTTGCTTTTACAAAAATGATGTTGTCATTACCAATTATTCTCTTCAAAAGGGAGCAGGGATCATAACACATTATGATCCCTGCAGTGGGTGGGTCCTTTGACAGACAATACATAAATAAATCATCCTCTTTTAACAACAGAAAATATGCTTTTGACAGTCTTCCTCCCAGTAAGAACTTTTGTTTTTCTTTAAACTTACCAGTTATCCTGCCACAGTTTGCTGGTTTTAGTAGTGTACAATGAAACTGACCATGTTCTTTAATAGACAATTATGCTTCTAATATTACAGTTTAAGTGAGTTCTAATCAGGCTGTACTGCTCGTACACATCCAGTTGTTAGATAAAATCAACCTCACATTTCACCCATTTCAAACTTTCTGCATGAATGGTCTGTCCACCAAGCTCCTGTTAATAACAAACCTTTTGTAAAACCAACAACAGGACTTACTGTAAAAGAACCAGAGTATATATTCTTTCATATGATCACATTCAAGAGAAACTATTTTGTTTTGTAATATCATAGAAATTGCCATGATATGAATAATATCGGTCATTATCTGCAAAATCATTGACATTATTGTATTAATGTGGGTGTGTTTTATTGCCTGTGTACTGGACTTTTCTCTTTTGAGGCGAGGGATGCGTTATTTCTTCTTTCCAAATGTGTATATATTAGAATTTAAATGTGCTGCTGAAAGAACTTTAATAACTGCATGGATAAAATTCTATAAATACTTATTTCCATGTATGCATTGACTTCTCACTATTTCTCTCAGTGAAGCAGCTGAGTTGCACAAACTCTATCACTGATTAACTTATGATCAAGTAAATCAGTAATATACTGTCAGGTTCTTTTGGCTGTTTAAGCTCACCCACTTTATTGCATGAAGTTCACCAAGTAGAAGAGATCAGTTACTGCCCTCTTTTTTTGCCTTCACAGATATATTACTCAGAAAATAACTTTGATCACACTATCAAACAAAGTAAGGTTAAACATTTTTGCTCCGCATTTCTTGTTGCAGGTTATTTTCTGTTACTTTAAAGAAAGGAAAAGTGTTAAATATACTGATTTGCAATGACTGCAAGTGACATCTTTATCAGACTTGATTCAAAAAAGCTGCAGGATTTGCTTTTGAAGCTTTAAGGGAAATGAGATGGATTTGCAGCATAGTAAGAAAAACCATAAGTAGCTCACTTACCTTTTTCTGTTTTTGCTTCCAGACCCTCAAAACACATCCTCGATCAAACACCAATTACATAAGGTAAGGATAAAAAATTTCAGACTAATTTAGTTATAGTCAACATTTGTCATTAGAATGATATTTATAGTATTAACCAAAAGAAAGGTGTTAAAATGTATTAATTTGTGCAGTAAATGCCAAGTTAAAGTCAACAATTGCTGTACCCATAAAAACCACATTATTTCATGAAAAAATAAGAATTTATCATTTACTACCATTTACAACTTAAAGAATTGTATTGGTAAGCAGCTGAAACGATGAAGCTAGGATCACTTGTTTAAAACACTAATGCTTCCACCATCTTGCATTTCCATTGTCTTTACGTGAACAGAAAACAGGAATTAAATGTAATTGTTATAAATTTCATGAGATATTCTTACATCCATCCATTTTTTTCCATTCGCTTCCGCTTATCCTTTTCAGGGTCACGGGGGTGCTGGCGCCTATCCCAGCTGTCATAGGGTGAAAGGCAGGGTACACCCTGGACAGGTCGCCAGTCTGTCACAGGGCTAACACACAGGGACAGACAACCATTCACACTCACACCTATGGGCAATTTAGATTTTTCAATTAACCTATCCCCACAAAGTGCATGTCTTTGGACTGTGGGAGGAAGCCGGAGTACCTGGGGAGAACCCACGCAAACACGGGGAGAACATGCAAACTCCACACAGAAAGGCCGTGGCCTGATGGTGGAATTGAACTCAGGACCTTCTTGCTGTGAGGATACAGTGCTAATCACCGTGCCACCAAGATACTCTTACATGAAATGTTAATTAAGATTAGGTGTCTTGAATTGAATGATTGATCTAAGATTGTAAGGAAGCGAAGAGCATACCAGGCTAGACCTAGAGTTGGACATCTGGCTGCATCCTGTAGATTGACAGGATGTAGCACAAAATGAAAGGTGTTGGGGTTTTTTAATGTATTTTTTTTTTAAAGCGTTGTCAATGAGATGGCTGCAGAACTGAAATGATTATCAATGTGTTGTCCTGCATTTTACAGGCAAGATGAATTTGGATGAGTACTTCAAAAGAATTGGTTTCCATGGCTCCTATGATAAACTGGATCTTGCAACACTGAAGCTGATCCACAGGCAGCATGTTATGTCCATTCCATTTGAGAACCTCAGCATCCACTGTGGAGAGAAGATTACCATGGACCTTGAGGTCATCTTTAACAAGATGGTGAGGAGCAGCCGTGGAGGTTGGTGCCTTGAGAACAACTCCCTGTTTGGCTGGGTACTGAGACAAATGGGCTATGACACTACAACCCTGGGCTCCAGAGTTTTTAGCCCTACTGGTGGTGAATATCACTCTGAGGAAACACACCTCATTAACAAGGTCATCATTGATGGGAAGGCTTATATAGCAGATGTAAGTTTTGGGGTGTCACTCCAACTCTGGGAGCCTCTGGAGCTCATCTCTGGAAAGGAGCAGTCTCAGGCGGCGGGTGTCTTTCGCCTCATAGACAAGGGGGACATGTGGATGCTGGAGAAAACTGGCAGGAAACCAGAGGTTCCTAATCCAGAATTTGCTAAATCAAGTCTGTTAGACAAGAAGCAAACACAGGTGATTTACTCCTTCACCTTGGAGCCTCGTGAGCCATATCATTTCTCTCAGGTAAACCATGACCTCCAGTCAGACCCCACCTCACTGTTCATCAATAAGTCCATCTGCTCTTTGCAGACACCCACAGGATTCAGAGCACTGGTTGGCTGGACCTACAGTGAGGTCACCTTCAAACCAGAGGAAGGTGTTGATGTGTATGACATGAGAAATGTAACAGATGATGAGCTAGAAGAAATTCTGAGGGAAAAGTTCAATGTGAAGCTGCAGAACAAACTGAAGGCTGTAAACAAAAAAGCATGCTACACACTTTAGAGAATTAACCAGCAGACGTCCTGCTTTGAAAAAGCTTTAAAACAGTAATCAGAATTAAAATCAGAATACTTTATTAATCCCTAAGGAAAATTCTGCAAATCAAGCTTTGCAAAATTTCTGTTTTTGAAAAGTTATAAGTCACATTGAATGTCACGTTTCATATGATGCATTTCTATGACTGAAAGAAGTAAAGTCACTTTTTCAATGTGTTGTTTCATTTTATTCACACACACTTTTGCAGGTCCAGAGTTGGAAATATTTTAGTGACCACATAAGGAGATCAGTACCAAAATTCACTTTTTCTTTGCATTTCTCAAATACAACTATGAAATTGTATATATTTAATTAAACAAATACAACAAATCATGTTCTGTCACTTGAAAGAAACATTTCTACCTCAGTTGTTCGACTTGGAAAGAGGTAAGTGGTACGATAACGACACCTTGTGGTATAATAGACATGGTGCAGTGTTTAACTGCGTGAAAATTTGTCTAATAACACTAATTTATTCATATCAGTGACCAAAACCGCAAGTCTCGTCCGTGGATAAGCAGATGCAGCTCTAATTACCTCTGCTTGTCGACACACAAACCTATATTTTATTTTGTTTTCATAAATGTGGTCGAATTGAATCTCACGTGTTTATAAGAAGTAGCTGGTTGTGGTACTTAAACGTGAATGAAGTTAGGAGACTCATGGCTTCACGCCTGAAATAACTATTAAATATGCCAAAGTGACGTCATTATTTTGCGACAATAAATGACCTGTCAGAGACCCGAAAACAGAGCAACGTAACAAGGAATATCGTTGAAATTACAAATTTTAATTCCCAACTCTTACACTTTAAAATCGAGACCTTTAGTGGAGCCTGGGAGAAAACAGCTGTTCATACCAGTTACATGATCTCAAAAGGATTCACACACTCCCAACCAGGATAAGCCAAACACTGCACACAGTGAAATCATTCATAAAACCCACACATAGAGGTGTTTGCTTTTACGATTAAGATTCTCCCAACGAGACCTACCTAATTTCTCTCCTGCCCCCAAATAATAAAATTCAAAATACTACAAACCATATTATGATGATTAATTATCATAAAAGCCTATGTATCCTTGTATTTTCTCTGTCTCCCCTGCCTGGCGCGTGGTTTGGCTTGTACAATTAAAAGGCTTAAACCACGAAACCTTCAGCTCATTCTCATACACAGAATAAATCAATAACAGCACCTGATATCAATTAATGTTGAGTCAATGATAATGAGTTCCCAATCATTTTATAGTATTTACAAAAATATGTTACTGCAGTCAAAACCAATTTAAAAAATAAATAAATCTATATGCAAAGAAACGAAAGTCCAGTTTTAGATTTGAAATACAAATTTGAATAACATGTCGAATTTTGCCATGACCAATAATGCATGAGGTGGATTGTAGTGTTGCAGTCTTTGCACCTGATTTGGTACAACTCTTATTTAATCTGGAGCCGTGTGTGAGGAAAAGTGTTTATATAAATATAATTGAATTTCGTAAAGAGTTGGTTAGTAGCGCCTCTAGTGGTGATACCTGGGGTTTTATAAGTGCAGCTGAGCGTTGACAGTCACGCACCGTTTGACTATTAGCTACCGACAGCACGCAGCTGCAGGGCACAACCCAGCCCACAGGTAAGTTGGACTAATTAAAGCAGTGACACAACACATGAAGCTATTGTGCTTAAAATAAAAACTAATAGTGACCACTGATAATACATTTTCCACACTGTTTCTGTACTTTGGCAATAGATGTAAATAGTCAAGCTAGGAGATATTTTTCAGATTGTTCTTGAGCAAAAACTTTACCGTGAACAAGACTTTTTGCTCCTTTTAGTCAGGGGCCAGCGCCATTTTGACGGCGGGAAAAACAAGGCCAAGTAATTACTCCTAATGGTCTTACTTTGAAACGGAGTTATTGCAAGTAACCTTCCCTCCAAATACTCCTGCGCAAAATGTCACAGCTAAGGTTTAGGATTTGCGCTAATGTGACTGCATTTATGAAAGAGACCTGGGTTTCCAACACACCAGTGTTGGCCGTGTTCTACCGGAGGTCCACCACACAGCCAAGTGTTCAAATTCAACTGCCATCAAAAAAAGAAAACTGTCATCCCTGTGTCAAACTCGGAGACATGGCGCCATGATGCTGTCTGCAGTTACTCAAAAGACTTGACAGAAACTAAGAGGATGGCTTTCAGGGTCCTTTTATTTTATCTTTATTTATTTATTTATTTTTTCCACCAAAGACAAAACAGTGTAGGAGAACCTACAGACCCGTTAAGGACTTTTATGTCTTATAGGAAGCTTTTACCAGTTGTCCTCTTATTTATTCAAACAGGTATTTGCTGGGAGTGTTATCTTCGTTTTAGCTTATAGGTGCTGTGTGTGTTTAAAAAAGAAAAAGCTTTAGATATGTTGAAAGCCAACATTTGACGTGGACCCCCTTCATTCTTTAACACAGCTTGAACTCTTAGGCAAGCTTTCTTATAATTGAGCCTTCAGGAATAGTTTTCCCAGGCTTTCTGAAGAAGATTCAAAGCTTCAGGGCTCCAATCCATGACTGGTGGTGCCCAATTGTGAAGTGGTGTGTGGTTTTTTTGTTTTGTTTTATTTTGTCCCCCGTCTCTCTATCCAGGTATGCCTTGACTACAATGCTAGGGTGTTTGGGATCATTATCATGCTGGAAAAAAAAGGAAACCTTTGCCAATCAGGCTTCCAAATGATATTGTGTTATGGATCAAACTCTGATGGTACCAGTTTTGGCAAGGTCCCCAACACTGATTTAAATGCAGCCCAAAATCATGTGTGTCCACTGGGTTTTACAGATGGCTGCAGATGCTCACTATACCTCTCCCTTGAGCTGGATAAGCCTAGCTCATTAGAAGGAATAAAGAGGATATGGTTTGTTTTGTGGGAAAAGGCTTTCATCACTCATTGGAGCAGAAACTCTGAGCCACATTCATGAAAGCTTATTTGTTTTGTGTATTGCTTCTGTCAGCTAAGCAATTGGGATGCGCCACCCCTATCACCATCATGATCGATGCATATTATTGAATGAGACTGGCTATATACATTCCTTTTGTAGTATAAAGTAGCTCACTTACCTTTATCCTGTTTTTGCTTCCAGACTCATCAAAACACATCCTTGATCAAACACCAATCAAATAAGGTAAGGATAAAAAATTTCAGATTAATTTAGTTATAGTCAACATTTGTCATTAGAATGATATTTAATGATATTTAAACATGTTTGCGCAAAATGTTCAGATCATTTTAATTGTATTCAACATTTCCGGGGGAGCACAGCCCAAAGACTAGTATTGGTAAGCAGCTGTTGAAAGGGTTAAATGAGGGGTAGGATAACCTGCCCTATTAAAACACTAATGCTTCCACCATCTTGCATTTCCATTGTCTTTACATGAACAGAAAACTGGAATGAAATTTAATTGTTATAAATTTAATGAGATACTCTTACATGAAATGTTAATTAAGATTAGGCGTCTTGAATTGAATCATTGATTCTTAGATTGTAAGGAAGCAAAGAGCCTGCCAGGCTAGACCTAGAGTTGGACATTTGGCTGCATCCTACAAATTGACAGGATGTGACACAAAATGAAAGGTGTTGGGGTTTTCTTTTTTCTTTTCTTTTTTAAAAAAAAAAAGCTTTGTAAGTGACATGCTGCAGACCTAAAATGATTATCAATGTGTTGTCCTGCATTTTACAGGCAAGATGAATTTGGAAGAGTACTTCAAAAGAATTGGTTTCCATGGCTCCTATGATAAACTGGATCTTGCAACACTGAAGCTGATCCACAGGCAGCACATTATGTCCATTCCATTTGAGAACCTCAGCATCCACTGTGGAGAGAAAATAATCATGGACCTTGAGGTTATCTTCAATAAGGTTGTGAGGGGTACCCGTGGAGGTTGGTGCTTTGAGAACAACTACCTGTTTGGCTGGGTGCTGAGACAAATGGGCTATGACACTACAACCTTGGGCTCCAGAGTTTTCGACACAAGCATTAATGACTTTGAATCCCAGGAAGTACATCTCATTAACAAGGTCATCATTGAGGGGAAGGCTTATATAGCAGATGTAAGTTTTGGATTATCTGGCCAAATACGGGAGCCCCTCGAGCTCATCTCTGGAAAGGAACAGCCTCAGGATGGAGGCATCTTTCGCTTCATATGCAAGGACAATTTGTGGATGCTGGAGAAGACTGGCAGAAGAACGGAGGTTCCTAACCCAGAATTTGCTAAATCAAGTCTGGTCAACCGGAAGGAGACGCGACTGATCCACTGCTTCAGCTTGGAGCCTCGTGAGCCAGATCATTTCTTTCAAGTGAACAATGACCTCCAGACAGACCCCACCTCACTGTTCACCAACAAGTCCATCTGCTCTTTGCAGACGCCCACAGGATTCACAGCGCTGGTTGGCTTGATCTACAGTGAGGTCATATTTAAGCCAGATGAAGGTGTTGATCTCTATAACATGAAAAACATAACAGAAGATGAACTAGAGGCTGTGCTGATGGAGAAGTTCAAAGTGAAGCTGCAGAACAAAATGCAGGCTGTAAACAGAAGAGTAGTCCTTGAATTTTAGAAAATTACTCCTCATACATCCTGCTTGGGAACACTGGCATGAATGAAGCTCCCTGGCTTTCTGTTTATTTGAAAGATTATCAGTGGTGTTGAATGTGTTTTGTATGACTATAAATGATACACTTGCATGGAAATAAAAATAAAAAATAAAAATAAAAAAGTCAAGGCATCATTTCAGTCTGGTTTTGTTTTTTTTCCTTCTATCTTCCCCTCCATACAGTTCTGCAAGTTCAGAGATGGAAGAAAACATATCAGTGAATTGTCTAGTATTTGATTATTATTTTATTTTTGTTTTTAAGGCTTCTAGAACGGTAAAACGTATAAACAGATCAAGGTCAAGATGAACATATTTTCATTTTCCAAATATCACTCAATTGATTTCTAGTCTTAACTAAATAAAATCAATTGAAGTCTGCATTGTCCCTCTGACAGGAAGGTGACCAGTCCAAGGTGTACCCCTGCTTCTCCCATTGTGATGGCTAGAATAGGATTCCAGAACAATGCCATCTCTGTGATCCTGAACTATGTGCGGGTGGATGGATTCAAACAATCATTGGACTATCTCAAATCTGTCTGCTCAAAGATTTCAAACTATTAGATGCTTGCATTTTCTCCCATGTAGTTTTTATGTAATCATATCAAACTACTTTC